CTCTGAGGTGGCTGCAGCTTTAAACACATCCCAGTCTGTCTGGGTGAAACAGTCCTGCAGGATGCCTTCAGTCTCTGGGGTCCAGAGTTTAATTTGTTTGGTGACAGGGTTTGTTTGTTTCAGTCTTTGTCTGTAAGCTGGATACAGGAACAAAAAAATGTGGTCCGAGCGTCCAAGGTGGGGGCGGGGTGCGGCCCTATGCACCACGTATGTTACTGTAAACATGATCCAGAGTGTTCTTGCCCCGAGTGGGAATGTTCACATGTTGGTAATATTTGGGGAGTACAGTCTTTAAATTGGTTAAAGTTGCCTGCAGCGATAAATACAGCATCGGGGTGTGCTGTCTCTAGCGTGTTGATGACATCATAGATTTACTGAGAGACACCAAGAGATTAGCTCTTGAGCTAACATACACAGCAGCCAGAAACATAGCACTATGCTCTCTTCAAGGGCTCAAAGCAACGTTACCAGCAAGATTACTAGAGATCATCTGGCGGCGGTGACGACACACCAACACTTTCCTTAAGTACTACTCTAATCATTGAGCGCAGGTGTGCCTCGCTGTCTGGAATGCACTCCAACCTGTGCCAGCTGATGATGTGCTGAGAACGGCCCGGGCATAACACTTATTTGGTTTCCAAAGGTGAAATCCACTCACTTGGCAATTGAGCTGGCATTGTCAGTGGTGTCAAGGGAAATGGACATCTCGTCTGGGAAGATGGAGCTTCCGTATTCACTGAAGACCACGGAGATTAAATCTTTCATCCCACTGGCTTGCCCTGTAGCCTGTTTAGATTGCAATGCTTTTCACATGGGCAAACTGCCTTTCAGCTAAGCATGAGTCTAAGTCATACTGATCACCAGCTGAGTGTGATTGTATGACAATAAGGGTTAAGGATAGGATCGGGTGCCTGGGCGTGTACAGGGGTTCTAATACTTATGTCTCTGTGAGGACCATGTTGAGTTTTAGACCTTGAGAGTGAAAATGATTTTGAAATGTGTGGACACTTGGTCATTACTCACTGCTTTAAAAGGCTGTTTCAAGGTCAGGACTCAGTTTTAGGGTTAAGGTTAGAGTTAGGCTTGGATATGGGCTCAAATAAGGGGTTATATAGTCATTGAGGTTAGTTATGGCAAATCTGTTACCATTATAAAAATACACTAAACAAAATAAAACATCATCAGCATCTTTATGATAGGGCAAACACATGCCTGTTCTTTTTCCTTTGCCAGCAACAGTTTAACAGAAGCAAAAGAATTCATTCCTCTTTGGCAGCAATTTTCGTTTCTACTGGATAAATCACGTGACCTGATTAAGGCCATGAGCAGGTGACTCTTTGGGTGAGAGGTGTATCACATTTGCCAAGATGCAGGACTGCCACTGCTT